CGTGCATCCCCTCTGACTACTTCTCTGTCCATTGGTAATCCACAGCCACAAAGTGCCTTCCAAAAATGCCTTGAAGAGGTATCTCAAAGAGGAGAACCTTTAACCTCATATCCTGTCTTCAGAGAAGACAATTCCCAGCCACGAAGGGCTCTTGTCTTCCTGCTTAAAGATTTTTTTAAAAAAAGCATTATAGAGTACAGGGGCCAAGGGCATTTTACCAGGGAGTAAATATTATTCTAGCAAGTATTATGAAATGATACTTTCTGACTGGCAAACCCCTAAGAAAACAATTCTTACCATCGCTCAATATAGTTTATAATTCCAGGAATGAATGGATGCAAGCTGGCCTATTGCTGCTAGTAATCAAAGGCAGCAACCCTCTCTAAATATTATTTAGGATCAATTAATCAGACTCAAGGAAACTTTGAAACCATAGCTCTACAGCTTACCAACACTCTGGTTAATAAAAAGATCCGTAGAGCCGATGAAAGGCTAGGAATAAGATCCCTGACCACAACCCTCTTTTGGAGTCTTTTTCCACTATCAGACAAAACCCTACAGAACTTCATATGAGCCTTAATTGTCTACAACAAGCTAAAAGTGACTGTTCACACCATATCTCTTCCATTAGTTTATGAAATGGGAATTCTGACTGCAAGGGACGTATTCACTCCATGTAGTCGTAGTCAGTGGTGGCTAGTTTTACGTCAACTCGACATACGATAGAGTCATCAGAGAGGGGAGAGGCTCAACCGAGAAAATGTCTCCGTAAGATCGGGCTGTCAGCAACCCTGTTTCTTAATTAGTGATTGATGGGGGAGGGCCCAGCCATTATGGGTGGGGCCGCACCGGGGCTGGTGGTCTTGGATTCTATAAGGAAGCAGGCTGAGCAAACCATAAGGAGTAAGCCAGTAAGCAGCACCCCTCCATGGCCTCTGGATCAGCTCTCGCCCTCCAGGTTCCTACCCAGTTAGAGTTCTTATCCTGACTTCCTTCTGTGAGGAACAGTGACAGTGGCAGTGTAAGCCAAATAAACCCTTTCTTGCCCAAGTTGGGCATGGTGTTGTTTCATCCCAGGAATAGTAACCCTAACCGAGACAGCATGCCATCTGTACTATTGCTGATATGGTAAAAATGTGCCACAATGTTGGTGCAGAAGACATAAGCCAGCCCACTTACACCCTCAGTTTGGAAGCCCAGAATTCCCTCCCTGTATGTCTCCCAGCTGCCAGGGGCACAGCCAGCTGTAGCCACTGATGGTCTCATTGCTTTAGGCCTTTTGAAACACTCCATCTGGCTCCAGCCCCAGCCCTAAGACAATAAGAGATTTAATCACCACTATTAAAAATAATTCAACATTAGATTTATCTTTAGTTAAAAATATAAAATTAGGTGTAATAGGAAAAGTAAGGAGACTCCCCCACAGGCTTATGGAGAATCATTCCTACAAAACGATCTGGCTAAATTTAAGGTAAACCAGATTGGATTATACTGTTTTTGTTTGCCCAGATGTTATTGATTCAAATTACACAGGTCAAATTTATACTATGGTTCATCCCCAGCTACTCGGAGAAATTCAAGAATTCACTTAATCGGAACAGTTGATCATTATACCTTATCTAACACCACACGCTTGTAGAGGCATGGCCTGGTGCTTTGTATGAATTGTTGATTATCTTGCCTCCCCCCCCCCCCCGGATTCTTACTGCTCTGTGAACAATCCAACAGGCAACCCAAAATGATGTTTGTGTTACCTCGCTTCCTGATTGGCTAAATAAAAACTTCCCACACCTGAGCAGGGCAAAGGTAAGGTGGGCAGAGCTAAGGTTCTCCAGTTTGGAGAGAGAGAGAGAGGATCATGGGGAGGAGAAAGGTGGAGGAGAAAGGAGAAAGCAGAGCTGCCATGGGATAGAAAAAAGAACCAACCACGTGGGCAGGAGGAAGGACTCCAAGGCGTGCTCTACCACCACCCAGCTCCATGTTACTAAGATTATTGATTTTAAGGTGGTTTTTTTTTTTCAACTGTCCCTTTACACTCTGATGCTTGAAGATTTTCTTTTTCAGTACCTACTCTTTATAATCAAGCATCTATGTCTCACTTTCAGTGGACCAACAGTCCCACCTTCTGCCAATGGCGGGTTAACAAGGCAATATACCCCTATTAGAACAAATACTCCACACAGGTATTGTGGAAATACTGTTACTCATTTTTTTCTATTAAACTTTACTGGTACAATTATCTGTTCCAAGAAAAACAATGTTAAATTCTCTTCAACCGCTCTCACCAGTCAATATCAATGACTTACTTGGGAATTCCCTATGCGGTTCTTTCTCACCTTTTGGATTCTCTTAAAGGAGCCGCTGGCTTAGACTCAAACTCACACTCTAACTCTTTGCATTGCAGCAACCACAATTAGTCCATCCCAGCTCTGAAACGAAGGTTACCTTTTCACAGACACTTAGATTTTTAGGTCAGCCACTGGACAATTAACTTCCCTTTCAGCATTTTAAAACAGTTGTTTCTTCCCAACACACCTAAGCAAAACATTTCTACTGAAAAAAAAAAAATGTTTACTCAGCAAAGAATCACTCTTATTCAACCAGGCGAAAGCAGAACCGCCAAGCTCGCTGGACAAGACGCTGGTAGTCTTTACCCTTTTGTAACTCAAGACAATTTCAACTTTCTCTCTCGGGTTTTAGAAGAATGGAAAATAGTTTTCACTGACTTTCTTGGGGGGACAGATCTCCTTTCACCTCCCTCCTATAAGGTGGGATACTTTCTGACTGGCAAACCCTTAAGAAAACAATTCTTACCATTGCTCAATATAGTTTATAATTCCAGGAATGAATGGATACAAGCTGGCCTATTGCTGCTGGTAATCAAAGGCAGCAACCCTCTCTAAATATTATTTAGGATCAATTAATCAGACTCAAGGAAACTTTGAAACCATAGCTTCTCTTTGATGGGGGAGAGGTGAGCATCCAGGTATTGGTTGGGTTCTTGAGGGAGTTTGTATACAGCCCCTTACTTCTCTTTTGGCATGTTCTCCCGAGAGTACACATCCTATTTCTTTGGCATTGGTCATTTCTCCGATGGAGAAATAAATCAGGCAAAGGAGTCGTGCCGTGGTGTGACGATGCTGGAACAGGACACTTTTGTGTTACCCCCTGAACAGGCCCCACCCAATGGGCTGAACTTTCTATGCCTTTCTGCCATCAAACAAATCCCCCGTTCAGCCTTTCAATTTACAAACCGATTCTCATTATGTGCTCAAGGCATCCCATTTTTACTTATTTTTTATTTATGGAGTTTGTGACCCCTCGGAACAAAACAATAGACTTAATCCAATTATAATTAAAAGATTTATTGATTAGCTGCTAACAAGACAACAGCCTTAAAGTGGGATCTCGGGCATGTCATGAAGGAAGAGTTCGGGGGTTTTCCTTTAAAAAAAAATTAATTAATTAACTTTGGTTTTTTTGAGACAGGGCTTCTCTGTGTAGCCCTGGCTGCTCTGAAACTCACTCTGTAGACCAGGCTGGCCTCGAATTCAGAGATCTGCCTCTGCCTCCTGAGTGCTGGGATTAAAGGCTTGTGTACCAGCAGAGAAGTGCTTTTTAAAGGCAGAAAGTGCAAGAAGACCTTCCATGTCTGTGCATGCAAGCAAACACTGGTCCGCTCTGCCAAGTGGTCAAAATGACCCACAATAATCATTAGGTGTCTGTGTAAGCAAGTTACAAAGCCAAAAAAGCAGTTAGTCATATCTTAACAAGTAGATGGTTTCAGCTGTACATTTCTGGGTCAGGGTCACAGGGAACTTATCTTCCAGGGACTGGAGTCAGAGGCAAACAGCTAGTGGCTACCAAGATGGATGCCTAGCATAAAATGGAGTTTCTTTAGCCATCAGCAAGCCACCTTGGCTCATGCCTCAGACTTCTTGTTATCAGCATTTAACTCTATCTGAAGTCTCTTTTCACAGGTAAATTCATCCTGTTTTTTATTCTACACACTCAATGCTGTACAGCGTGACCTATCTGGTCGCCTTACATAAGGAAATCATAATGCTGACAACGGACTCGTCATGTCTCTTTTTCAACAAGTGACTTCCTCTCATTCCTTCTCTCATCAAGGAGCCAGAGCTTCCTAGAAACAATTTCACTATCACAGACACAAGCTCAGCAGACTTACGGCTGTATATAAACTCCCTCAAGAACCCAACCAGTACCTGGATGCTCACCTCTCCCCCATCAATCAGAGCCCAGGCTCCACATCCGGGAACCTCCCTGCTCCCCCCACCCCCCAGGCGTGACTGACAGGGTCAGAGCAAGAGACAACAGCCTGACCAATTCCATTGAATTTCAAATCCAGCTGTGGTCTTGCTCATTTGCCTCCTGCTGGAAATGCTGTTCCTACCTTTTCCAATCACTAGAACTGAAGGAGAGACCATGAATTAGTCTCTCCCCTTTTGTGAGAGTAACTGTTTAGTCAGTCGGCAAACACTCCCTGAGGACTCAGCCAAGCACTGCCCGGGTGCTGAGATTCAGTACCTACACTCGATGTTCACAGTCCTCTGGGCAGGCAGTGATTGTGATGTAGGGGAAGAGACTTCTCATGTCTCTCACTGCGTAGCTGAGGCTAGCCTTGAACTTGTGATCTTTTACCCACGTTTCTCAAATGCTGAGATGACAGTTATGCGCTACCACGCTGGGTACCTTGAAGGGTAAACAGATAATCCCACCTCCCCGGCCCCGCCCCGGAAAACGGTCTCGGTCCCAGGTCCATCACCTTCGAGGTCTAGAAGCTCAGGGACCACTGGAAAGGACTAGCACTGCCAACTACCCCTCCTCACTCTACAGCCCCTTCTAGCGTTGTAATTTTAGGTACCAGCAGTTTTACGGGAGGCTGTGGCGCAACCGCTGGGAGCGGGAGTACTTGACCCAGAAGGCCTGAGGGCGGGGCGGGGAGGAGTGCCGGTGGAGCTAGGAGTAGGAGGCGGCTCCCGGGCAGTTCTGCTTGGGCAGGGCTGAACTGAGATCCCAGTCCTACCGTGCACCTGAGCCACATGGATCGCCTGTGTGGCTCCGGGAAGCTGGGCTCCAAGTTCTGGGTAAGGCGCGCCTCTCGGGGATTGGGGATTGGGGGGGAGGGGGGAATCTGTGCTGCGGAAGGAGTAGGTGTCAACCAAGTCTGGTCTCCCGCCCCACCGCTGCCTTCCGGGGGAAGCTCGGGAGTGAGGGTGACCCCGCTGATGCCCTGGAAGGCAGGATGTGCGTAGCCAGACCTGAGAGGGTCTAGGCACCAAAGAGGGAACAGTGGGCGCGGAAAAAGTGTGTGGCCACGGTGCTGCCATGCTTTGCTCTGCCGCGTGGAGGAGTTGGCAGGAAGGAAGCTCCTGGCATCTGTAGAGCATCAGGAACTGGGAAGCACAGGCCCTGGCCTGTTGGTGTAAGCCCTCTGTCTGGTTGATCCCAGGGTACAGAAGAAGCATTTTGCATTTTGCCTGCATCCCTGATGAATGAAGCCCCCAGCACCCGACCCATTAACTATGGCTTGGTTGTTCACCCAGTCTTCCTTCCCTACATCTTAACGGCGGCATCCAGCACCTTGCTCAATAAAGTACTTGGTACAGATAGACCTTCCAAGCCCCCTCTTTTTGGGGGTGGGGGGGCTGCTTCTGTGCTCAAGGCTCTGTTTATACCCAGGACATAAGAGAGAAAGGCAGACGAAAGTCTCCTAGCCCAACCCTTCGCTCTGATAGACGGGGAGGAAATGGAGGTCCAGAGAGAAAGGGACTTGCCCCCAGAGCACCCAATTCCATGAAACCAGAGCCGGATTAAAAATAGTGATAAAGTAAATAAAAGCAGGCCTTTTGTACTGGGCTCATAGCTCAGGGGTGTGCCCTGAGTGTCGAGTGTCGGAGGCTCTGGGCTCAATCTCCAGCACCGCACACACCTTCTGTGGCTCTCATCAAATTCTTTATCAGTCAGCTTGGATGTGTGGAGTGTGTGCATCCTTGGCGCCCCCCTTCGAGGCAAGGCAACTGAGGATAAAATCTCAGTGTCATAGGCAGACCAAATAAGGGGCTCATTTCTGGTTTACTCAGGGGCTGCCCGCCCTAGCCTGGTTTCTAGACTTTGAATCCTAGTCGGTACATTTTTTTCCCCCCATTATGAGCATCTGGTGCATGCGGATATGTTCGCGCAGGGGTGAAGGTGAGGGCTTGTGCACAGATGTGTGCTGTGTGCCTGTGTGTGCACAGATATGCATGCACAGCCATACTCTGGGGCTGTCACGTAAGGGGTCTTGGAGCACGCTGGGAACAGGGTTTTACATGGATTTGGGAGGGTAGAATGTCACGATGCGGATATGGCAGCACAGTTTGTCATCCAGGATTTGGGAAGCTAGAGCAGGAGAACCAGAAATTCAAGGTTATCCTTGCCCACCTGACATGTTCCCGGCTAGTCCAAGGTACATGGGACCTTATCACCAAACAAAAAAAAAAATTTTTTTTTTAGAAAGTGTCTTTTTCTTTGGGTCACTAACTGGTTCTAGCTCAAACCAGGAGGAGCCACACACACTACCCCCTCCCCATTATCCAGACTGGAACAGTCACTCTTGTCTAAGGTCCAGAGGTGATCCTTGTCTTATCAGTGACCCTGCCTTCTCTGGTCATTTGGACTTGGCAGATGTGCCTAGGGCATAGTCACAATCACAGTGACTAGGCAAAAAGTTTGAGAGTCGGCAGATGTGGCAAGCTTCAGGCACGGCCTTCCTTGTTTCTAGGTGGCAGTGAAGCCATGAGTCATCAGAACTGCCCAAGGCAATGCTCCCCAGAGCCTGGAGCTAGAAACCTAAGGATTCCCTTACGTCCCCAGCTCAGAGATATGCTATGGCAGGGGCTTGGCTAACCCAGCCTTTCAAGGTAGAGTCCTGGGGAGAAAAAGGACACCTGGTTAGCATGGCCGTGGCAAGATGACAGAATTGTTATGTAGCGATTGGCTAAGAGACCAGCGTGCCTGTGATGTGCTGCCAACCTTCCCACTGCCTGGCTGCACTTTTGAGCCTCAGGCACCATAGCCCTGGAACTTAACACTGTGCGCGAGGTCTCACGGGCAGGAACTCATCTCCACTGTGACCCCTTGAGGGGCGTGTCTCTGCTTAGATGTCTTCAATGACAGGGAAGTGACGACTCCTCGGCCCACCTCAGACTGGAAACGTCCTCCATCTTCCACGTGATCTTGGCTTCTGAAGGCCCTTCCTGGATTCACTTCAGTGGCTTCATGTTGGGATCTGAGAAAGCAGGAAGCTTGTAGTTTATCCCTGGGGGCTTGCAGAGCTACAGGGTAGAAGGGTCTCAGGCTAGAAGGCTGGAACCTAAGCTATAGCTCAGTTACCCAAAAAGGCTTGACTTTCAGGGCTACTTACCCCCCCCGCCCCCGTATGCTACTTTGCATCATATGTAATCCAGATATACCCTTGATCCTTAGGAGCTGTGTCAAAAAGTGACTGGGGGAAACCTGAACATAGAGGAAAGGGGAACAAAGGGTGGGGTGATCAGGTCTTTCTGGGCCACCTGTTTACCCAGACTTCCCCTAGCTTCTCATGGCCTTTCTTTCTCCACCTGCAAAATGAGGAAATGGGCTACCTGCTCCTTACCTTACAAGATTTTTATGGAGATCAAATGAAACAGAGAATGTGAAACAAAGCTGAGAAGCAAGAAATTCCGTTGACAGGTCCCTATAATCCTATCAACTGGAGGAAAGACAGAGAATGAGGCCAGGATGGGTGTCAAAGCCATGGTCCTGTGAGAAAAGGGCTGGCAGACTGTTGGGACAAAGGCTGTGGTTCTAGCTGTTTATCTGGGGAGCAGGAAGTTAATTTGTGCTACAGATTCAGCTCCACTCCCTTAGGGGACCTGTGACCCTGTGGACACACCCACACCTCATATATTCACACACACCATGTGCTAGGTGGCACGATATGTCTCCTTCATTCCCCCAGTCCTCATAGGTCATGTTATCAACATCTTAGAGTATACCTTCAATTTCTGTGGAAATAAGTTCCAGAAGAAGAAGGCCCAGAGGCAAACTCTGTCTCAAAAACCAAGAACAAACAGGACATGGTGGCACGTGCTCATAATTGCAGCACTCTGGAGGTAGAGGTGGGAGGATCAGGAGTTACAGGACAACCGCTAGCTAGGCAGAAAATTTGAGGTCAGTCTGGGTTACAGAAGATCCATCTCAAAAACAAACCCCAGCTGGGCAGTGGTGGCACACCTCTTTAATCCCAGCACTTGGGAGGCAGATGGGTCTCTGTGAATTTGAGGCCAGCCTGGTCTATATAACAAATTCCAGGACAGCCAGGGTTACACAGAGAAACCCTGTCTTGAAAAACAGAAACCAAACAAGCAAACAAATAAAAAAGATCTAAAGAGTGAGTTCAGATGCTAGAGGCCAACGGCAGAGGAGGTTGGGGCTTATCTCTGCTCTGACTTGCTGTCCCAGGCTTAGAGGGGCACAGTTTGTTTTGAGACAGGTTAGACAACATTCATTGGGGTGAAGGAATGCATAGAGAGACCTGGACTCATTGCTCTCAGAAACTTTTAGTCTGTTTGCACAATGTACCTCAATCTAAGGCCTTCAGCAAGCATAGAAATCTGGAGGCTAACTTTGCATGTATATAAAATTATCAAGACTTCCTGAAAAGTAGTGGGTTTCCTGTCATTGGAAGCATGTAAGTACCTGATCTGCAACCTCTTTGTGGGAAGAGAACTCGAGCAAGGAAAACAGGCGACCCCAACTTCATATTCTGTGAGCAACTGGGAAGACGGACCTTTTAGCCAATGGAGATTCCCCAGTCTCTCCTCCCTGCTTCCTGGATCCTTCTTTTCCTGGCTTTCTCATTGTCCCAGGTGGAAGTCTACTTAGTGGCAGCTCTTGGTCCTATGGGTCCCCCGAGGGTCAGGCCTGTGTGGAATAGATAAAAATTCTCACTTCTTTCTCAGATACCTGAGTCATCCCCTAAGGAGGAGCTAAGCTCTGCTTCCTTGAAGACCCATTTCCATGGCTCCAGGGCTCCATTCTGTCACCTACTAAGTATGTAACTGTGGGAAAGTCACTCACCCTCTTTGGGTCTAGCTGAGTTTAGGGTGTTCGGGGTCCGCCTTCATGTCATGTGGTGATGCCTGGGAGGATGAGCCTCAGGTTTGTGGTCCAGGGCCATAATTAAGGTGCTCTAAGCCCTAGGGCTCTAGGTATTAGGGACTCCAAAGCTCCCCCTTGAATTATTGAATTATTGTAGGCAACCATCAAGAGGCACGAGTATATTTGGGCTCTAAAACAAAAACAGTGATATGCAAGCAAGCTGGAATTAGAATGGTCACTGAATAGACAGATGGGTGGAAGGTGCCCACTTCTAAGCTTGCTGGGTACCATCTCCTTTGGGGGACCTAATCTTCCCTGCCAGGCCAGGGGCCTGGAAAACCATTTTCATTAAAGCTGGAGATAGTTAAACTCAGGTTTATTAGCTTTGGTCTCTGAGTTCTTGGCTTCTGGCTGGAAGATTTGGTCCCTTGTGGTCCTAGACCTCCTGTTCTTTGGGCCTGAGCTAAAGGGAGAAGCTTAGGAAAGGAAGTCAATCAGAGATGCAGTCCGGAGAGGAAGCTTTGCAAAACCTACTGGCTTCTCTCCCCACCCTACACCCCCACCCCCATAGTCTTGGGGCTGTGTCTGTAATCCCAGTGCTCAGGAAGCTGAAGCAGAAAGATTGCCATGAGTTTGAGCCTACCCTTGGCTAGAGAGAGTAAGATCTTGTTTCAAAACAAACAAACAGTGAATAAAGTGTAATTAATAAAGAAAAAAAGGAAAAAAAAAGAAATTAAAGATGTCTAAAATTAAAGAAATTATTATGTCTTATAATAATACTTCATAATTATAACATAATAATCCAAAAACAAACAAACAAACAAACAAACAAACAAAGGGCTGTACATGCAGCTTAGTTGGAGGAGTGCTAGCCAAGCATGCACATAGCTTATGTTTGATCCCAGTCACCACCCCTGTAATCCCAGCCCTTGGCATGTGGAGGCAGGAGGATCAGGAATTCAAG